AGAATCAAGAATTAAACTCGGAATCACAAACGGACTTGTCACATGTGCTGCAATGATTTTCCTGCCAAGCAAACATTTAACAGAATTTGTTTAATGTTACTAAAATAGAAAACGTATCAGGAATTTAGACATCTCCAAGCACATTATAATAATATTATAAATAATGGCTGTGGATGAAAACAACTACACTTATTTTTTGTCACAAAATAAAGATTTGTTAACAAAGCCTATTTATATGAATAAGCTCAATAATGAAAATAATACACTCTAATTTAAGTAAGATATTTATACTCACACACTAACAAAAATAAAGAGTGCTTCTAGCTCATCTTGTGATAGAAACAAAAATTTCTCTAATGGACTTTTTTTTGTTTTGATGCCTGTCCTGGAGTGTGAACTCAAGAGTCTGAGCACTGTTGGTGAGCTTATTTTGCTCAAGACTAGCACTCTATCACTATAGCTACAACTCTACTTTTGGCATTTTTGGTAGTTTACTGGAGATAAGAGTTTCATGGACTCTGTCTGGGTTGGCTTCAAATCATGATCATCAGATCTCAGTCTCCTGAGTAGGTATAATTACAGGTGTGAGTCACTGGTGACCAGCTTTACTAAACTATTTTAATTATCTTTTAAAATACATTATGGTTTGGAACCTTGGGGATATTATACTAAGTTAAATACATCAGTCTTAAAAGGACAAATACTGTAAGATTCCCCTTATATAAGAGGTATATTTGACTACTTATTCATAGAAACAGAGTAGAATAAGGATTACAAGGATCACAGGGAAGAGAAAAATGGGTAATTGTTTAGTGGACCGAGTTTTAGTTTTATATGAGCTGGTGGTTCATGCTCAAATCCTGGCTACTTAGGGGGGGTGAAATCTGAGGTTCAAGGTTTAAATCCAACCTGAACAGAAGAATCTATGGCACTTTTCTCCAATTATAACAAAAATTTAGTCTAGATGTGTACCTTAATTGGTAGATGTCAGCTTTGAGCAAAAATCCCAAGCAAGGCCCTGAGTTGAAAGCTCTAGTACCAACACATACAAAAAAATATGCTTAACTATACATTTTTAAAATTATAATTTTTTCAAAGGGTTTGGGTGCTAAAACATAGTCAAATAGACATAGATGAGCTAGGAATGTTGGTCAGCAGGAGACAATTTGGTTAGCATCTGTGAGGCCCTGGTTTGATTCCTAGGGCACTCTCACTCCTGAAATAAATAAGAAGATATACACCAGTAGAACATCCTTCTACATTGTCCCATGTAGAAGCCAATAGACATATATGGGTATTAAAATTCATTTTAACTTAAAAGTACGAATTTATTTCTTCTGTCACCGAGCTCAAGAGCTCAACAGCCATATGTGGCTACACACTGCAGACACAACATATTTTCAAAATCACAGAAAAACTATTAAACTTGGCTCAAAGTATAAGGAAATGACTCAAATACATGTGGGAATTAGAAGACAATACAAAGTTAGATACGACAAAGGGAGCATTGTAAATAAATGAGTTAATAACTATAGAGTAAATGATGGAACAATTTACTGGCTTGAATGAGAATGCTGGGGGAGGGATAGAAAGTACAAAACTGAATTCCTATTTTTTCTTTTTCCTTTTTTTTTTCCTCCCCTATTCTTGACGCAGTCTTGCTGTGTAACCCAGGCTGGGCTTCAGCTGGCTATATATTACAGGCTAGCTTTGAAGTTGCAGTCTTCTTGCTTCTGTCTCCACCCCTGAATGCTAGGATTATCGGTCTGGCCCATACTTCAACTTTCATTCAAAGATCCAGGAAATAAAGTTAAATCCGTATTTCAACTCTTACTCTAAAGAAATGCTACATAAAGGTCTAAGGATCTGGGCTCAAACCCTACCACAAAACAAACACACATGCTCCATGAATCAAAGACATATACCTAAAAAGTTAAATAATAAAAGTAATAGTACATTTCATCCTTATTTAAAAGTGGCTTTCTAGGTGGGCATGGTGGTACATGTTTATAATCTTAGCATTCACTAAGGCAAGATTTCCAGCTGCAGGCCAGCTGGATGATAGGGATTCTCTGTCTTCAAACAAGACAAATAAAAATAATAATAATAATAAAACAAGCTGGCTCAGTGCTTCAGCCTATGATCCCAGCTACTCACAGGCTGAGATCTGGATGATTATGATTCAAAGCCAGTCTGGGAAGAGAAGTCTATAGAATTCCATCTCCAATTAACCAGACAAAATCCAGACTAAATGCATGACTCAAGTGGTAGAATATTAACAAGAAAGTGAAGCAAGAATTAGGCCTTAAGTTTAAACCTTCATATTATTAAAACAAAAAAGTAAAACACAGCATAACAAAGCAAATCAAAGAAGAAGAAAAAAAACAGTTTTCGTAAGTTGAATATAAGTTGTGATGATGAAAACGGAAGAATGGTTATTTTAAGGAAAAATTAAAGCCTTCAGACATAAAGCTAAAAAATGCTAGAGAAAATAGCCTAGAGAAACTGAAAAGAAAATGAGTGAGAGATTTCCATATATTTAATCAATTGAACAATGTAACTCAGTGAGATGCAGGAAAAATTAGAGTACACTGAATATGCATGTGAAAAATTGCTTCATTTACCAATAATACTACTAAAATTGCATTTTTCACCCGAGATGGAAAAGATAATAAACAGTATTAATGGAAATATAAAAAATAAGGTCTATGTAAAAACTGACAACAGCTTTTTAGAAGGTAAAATCATCAACAACTAAAAACAAAAACAAACAAACAAAAAAAAAAGGGCTGGGAAGGTGGCTCAGTGGTAGAGTGCTTGCCTTGCATGCCTGAGGCCCTGGGTTCGATTCCTCAGCACCACATAAGTAAAATGAAAAAAGCCAGAAGTGGCGCTGTGGCTCAAGTGGTAGAGCACTAGCCTTGAGCTGAAGAGCTGAGAGACAGCGCTCAGGCCCAGCGTTCAGACCCCACGACCGGACCCCCCCCCCCCAAAAAAAAAAACAAACAAAAAAAAGAAATTGAGGGCTGGGGAGGTCGCTCAGTGGTAAGAGTGCTTGCCTTGCATGCCTGAGTCCCTGGGTTCGATTCCTCAGCACCACATAAGCAAAAAGAAAAAAGCCGGAAGTGGCGCTGTGGCTCAAGTGGTAGAGCGCTAGCCTTGAGCTGAAGAGCTGAGGGACAGTGCCCAGGCCCAGAGTTTAGGCCCCACGACCAGACCAAAAAAAAAGAAATTGAGTGTAGGATTTGCTGAAAAATAAACTAAAAGGTGAAAACTTAGCCCCAAAAGTAAATATAGATATATAAATCAAACAATGTCAGACATAAATTGATGGAGTGGCAGATAGTAGAGGTTCTACATGTTTTTCATTAAGTTTTCCCAGTGTGCATATTCCTTAACTCAACAGTATTAATTTCACTTATAATTACACTATATATACTCACTATAATTTAAATACAAGAATATTCTCTGAAGCAATGAAGAAAAACCTAGACCTAAATTGTTCACTGGAGAACTTGTTGAATAAATTGTGACTCATCTAACCACTGCTATGTCCCATACTTCAAAAGTTTAAAAGTAAATTATATGAGGTAGACTGTGAATAAGGTTTGATCACACTGAAATTTAAAAATGTAGTTTTGTCAAAAGGAAAGAAATGAAAATATCACCTGATGTAGAAGAAATATTGTATAGTCAAAGCTCATAGAAGTCACAAACTTTATAGACCATGATAATGACAATTTGCCTTGTGAAGGTTAAAATGTGTTTGTGACTATAACTAAATATCACTATTCCACAATGCTGTGAAATATATGAAATTAATGTAATCACCTAATTTCAATTTAAAAAAAAGCACTGGCATGAAAGCTGTACTCAAAAAAAATGTAGCTTTGTGAAGGCACATCAGATATGTATCTATGTTCATAACAAATTTCTGAAAGGATATACAAAAAGCGTAACAGTGAGTGCATCTGACTGGGGAAGAGGATGAAGAGACTATCACTTTCATAGAGCTAGAACTGGACTTTCATCTATTAAGGTGACTGACATTCATTTAGGAACTGACAATGCTAAAGGCTAATGTTGGTGTGGAGCTGCTTCAAAGTACATTTAGACTTTATGGAGCACAATTAAAGAACTACTGCTCTTTTATTGCTAACCTCAGCCCTAGGATCTTACTACACACTATATCTCTATCTCAGCCGATAATTCATTCGTCCATACCAAAGTTATAGTGCTTTCTCAAATCATTACTCTCAAGACACAAGAAATATTCTTTATTGGTATTAATCAACAACTCAAATTTATAACTTGACAAGAAAATATTCACACAGGAATAAGAGAACAATTAAACTATACAAATAAACTCCATGCTCAGAAGAGGATAAACTGGTATGAGAGTGTTCATGGAAGAAATAAGAGGGCAGACTGAATCTTAATAGAAGAGCCAGGTTTAGACAAAGGAGAGAGGATTAAATAAAAATTCGAGCAAGAACACTCATAGCCCAAGTGCCAGTGACTCATGCCTGTAATCCTAGCTGCTCAGGAGGCTAAGACCTAGAACTCAGTTCTCAGCCAGCATGAGCAGAAAAGTTCCTAAGACTCCATCTTCAATCAATCAGCAAAAATCCTGGCTGTTAGTGTGGATCAAGTGGTAGAGTGCCAGCCATGATCAAGCAAGCCAAGGAAGTTAGAGGCCCTTGAGTTCAAGCACAGATAGAGACAAAAAATACAAAGAAATAAAATCTAAAATAATGACTCAGTACAATAAAGATTGGAGCTATAAAGTACGAAGTAAATAACAAGTAGGAATAAAATTGAAAAGAAGCCTCTTAAAAACCTGGGGGAAAAAAAGACTTAATAAAGTTGTCAAAAAATGAGTTTTATTTAAAGAGAGTTTGGCAGCAATAGCATTTAGAATAAACTGTTTCCATGTCTTCTTTTACATGCTTCTTTTTGAATTTTTTATATGAAAAATAAAATAAACACTATATCATTACCTCACTTCCAGATTCTAATGGTCTTTTCTTCCGTGGTCCAATAGCTGCAAGGGCTGTTAGATTAGCATCTCTGTGCTGTATCTGGGCAAGCTCCAATTGCTGTAACTGGAAGATGGAGAAAAGAAAGAAAAGCAGTCAATGCTTACACAGTCATGTTCACACAAATATTATAATATTTGTATATTTTCCTCTGAGTAAAGTTATAGTATGAAGTAAATACTCCATTCTCTTACAACTAAGGGTACTTTTCTTGATTTTTTGACTCCATACACTTAGTCTGAAACCTTTATGCTGATTTTAGGCTAGGACAATTACTGGACAGAAGACAAAGAAGTCATTTCAAGTGTAAGGTGAGCAGAAAACTGGACATACTGGATAAACTCCAATCTTTTCAGATTAAAAGAAAATTACAGGGCTGGAAAGGTAGCTCAGTGGTAGAGTGCTTGACTTGATGCATGAGCCCTGGGTTCAATTCCTCTGCACCAAATATGCAGAAAAAGCCGGAAGTGGTGCTGTGACTCAAGTGGTAGAACACTAGTCTTAAGGTGAAGAGCTGAGGGACAGCGCCCAGGCCCAGAGTTCAGGCCCCATGACTGACAAAAACAAAAAACAAACAAAAACAAAAACAAACAAAAAAGAAAAGAAAAAAAAGAAAATTATCACAGCCAAGCATTCTCATTTTAAATATTTATAACATTCCTTGTTTGCAAATAGAAATTATGGATTTGCTTTCAATTTACTATCTACAGGAAAAATCGAAAGTATTTTGTTGTGTAGTGTAGTTATCATCATATTTAGTACAGAATGCCCAAACGTACAAAGAAGAATTTTTAGTATTTGGGTGAGATTATTCAGGGGTACAGATAAAAGATAACCTAATGAAAAGGCAGAGCAAGCATCACTTCATCAAAACAGCTAATTAAGTTTTTTTTTTAAAGGCAGACTAAAAATAAAATACCACCACAACCTAGGTCCATAAGTTTCTCTAGAAAAGGATTAGTGTTTAAACCTTATCAAAAGTTTATGATTACAAAAGGAAACGGGAAAATTAATAATGGTTGATAGTCACATAGTATCAACATGATCAACTAAAAAGTAACTTGTGGAGAAAATCTATATATAAAACATAAACATTAGGGGCTGGGGAGGTGGCTCAGTGGTAGAGCGCTTGCCTTGCATGCATGAGGCCCTGGGTTCGATTCCCCAGCACCACATAAGCAAAAAGAAAAAAGATGGAAGTGGCGCTGTGGCTCAAGCTCTTTTAGCCTTAAGCTAAAAGAGCTGAGGGACAGCACCCAGGCCCAGAGTTCAGGCCCCACGACCGGACCCCCCCCCCCAAAAAAAACAAAACAAAACATTATTTTAAAAAAGAGTAACAACCTCTGGTAGAGTGGCTCAAATGGCACAACACTTGCTTAGCAAACTTGAGTGCTGAGCTCAGAGGCCAATGAAGTATTTAAATAAGCAAGCAAGCAAACAAGGAAATAAATAGAACAAAAATCAACTTTTAAACACACATTGGAACACATCTTCTAAGAAAAAAAGCAGGATGAAAGTAGAATCATTTGTGGTGAAGTATTCAGTCTCACAGAGTTAATCACATAACATAAGATAATCTCTAGGAAGGATAGTGGCATGGACTTGAAACTTCAGCTCTTAAGAGGTTGATGCAGGAGAATCCTGAGCTCATTTCAAATTTTTAAAAATCACTTCTGATTGTCTGAATATTGGTAAAAAAAAAAAAAAATGAATATGCACCTGTAACTAAGTCTTTAATAAAGCAGAATGACTATGATTTGAATGTTTGTATCCATTCAAAATTCTAATGTAGAAACCTTAACCCCCAAGATGATGACAGAAGGACATGAGGCCTTTGAGAGACGATCAGGTCAAGGCAGTGGAACTCTTACAATGGGATTTGAGCCATTAGGAAAGAGGCAGGAAAGACACTTTTCTCCTTCTGTCCCACTAGAACAAGAGTGTGGATCCTCACCGATTGGCTGTCACCTTGACTTTGGAATTCCAACCTCTAGAACTGTGAGAAATAAGACTCTTTTGAAAACACACTGCCCAATATATTTTGTTATAGCCTGACCATATCTGGAAAATAATTATCTAAAGAAAATGAACTGAGAGTCGTTTTCTATTTGTTTCACAAATTTTTGGACAGTGTTTCTTATAAATAGTATAAAAAGTGTTTCCAGAAGTTGTAAGATCTTTTGTTGCTGCTGGCTTTTTAATTGTATTTTTTAATAAAAATATGTGAGCGGCTACAATCTACAATTTCTAGGTGACTTCTGTACTCCTCCCTCTCCAAAAAAAGATTTTAGTCATGCAGCGCAAATCAAACAACAAAAAACACAAGTTCCTTCCAGTAATGGTAGATAGTTGCACCAAATCCCAGGTATCTAAGTTCATTCATGTCTTCCAATTCCTTACCCAGGTAGTAAAAAATTTTCACCCACTCAGCAAATTATACTTTGGTATTCTGAATTTTCAAATACAATGCTGCAAGCAAACCTACATCTACCACAATGTAAACATTATAATTTTAGCTGACCCTGTAGCTAATAAACTTTCTCAAAAAACATATAATTTAACCAGCACAAAACAAAGCAATCAGACACTTAACTAGAACAGAGAAAGTTCTGGGTATAAATATAGTTGGAGGTGGCATCAAGTTTAGCTTAGTAAATATATCTGTAGTATTTGCATGTGTCAGGACACAAAATGCTCATGAAAGAATAAAAAAATAAATAGCATGAAGTTTATATACTGTAAGATTAAACACGATAAAGATTTTAATGCCTCCAAATTGATCTATAGATTTAATAAAGGACTGACAAAACATTTTGAAAATATGGGTTATTTCTGAAGTTTATATGGGGTTTTAGGGATATAGCTCAGTGGAAGAGCACTGATCTAGCATGTAATAAGGTACTGGGAATAATATTTAGCCCTGCAAAAATGAATAAATAATAAACTATGGAAACAAAAAGGAAGTAGAAAATCTAAATTGATCTTGAATACAAGGTATCAAGCTAAAATTGTGGCTCATACCTGTAATCCCACTACTTGGGAGGCAGGAGAGGAAAATCAGTTCAAAACCAACTCAGGCAATAAAGTTAGCAAGGCAGTTATCTCAAAGATCAAGCTGGCCATGGTAACCTGTGCTCGTATTCCCAATTACTTGAAAGGTTGAAGTGGAAGTATCACTTCATCTCAGTAGTTGGGAGACATTCTTGGCAACAATGAAACTCTGTCTTAAAACAAGAAAAGGCAGTAGGGTTTTAAAATGTAAAAAAGAAAAACTCTACCTAAACCAAGCCCTGGTGGCTCATACTTGTTATCGTAGTTACTCAAGACGCTGAGATTCAAAGCCAGACCAAGCAGGAAAGATCCATTAGTCTCTTATCTCTAATTAACCACCAAAAAGCCAGAAGTGGAGCTGTGGCTCATGTGATAAGAGTGCCAGACCTGAGTGAAAAAGCCAAGGGACAGCACATAAGCCAAATTCAAACACCAAAAATACTAGCACCAAACAGAGAGAGAGAGAGGGAGAAAGAGAGAGTAGAGAGAGAGACACACACACACACAGAGACCAAGAGAAAGAGAGAGTGACAGAGAGACAGAGAGAGAGAGAACAAAGAAAACACATTCATCTGACTAAAGAAGATCCCCCCTCTAGCCGGGCACCGGTGCCTCATGCCTATAATCCTAGCTACTCAGGAGTCTGAGATCTGAGGATCGTGGTTCAAAGCCAGCCTGGGCCAGAAAGTCTGTGAAACTCTTATCTCTGATAAACCACCAGAAAACCGGAAGTGGCGTTGCTGTGGCTCAAGCGGTAGAGCTCTTGCCTTGAGCTGAAGAGCTGAGGGACAGCGCCCAAGCCCAGAGTTAAAGCCCCATGACCAACCAAAAAAAAAAAAAAGATCCCCTCTTAGTTAATTAGAGATAAGAGTTCTTTCCTCAGCTCTCAGCCTCCTGAGTAGCCAGGATTACAGAAATGTGCCACTAGCCTCATTAAATTCACTTTAAGTGCTTCTATCTCTACTATGTACTGAAAGAGACTGTAAAGTGGTGGAGATTCTTCTGTGAATGTTTGGTAGAATTTTCTAAGTAAATGATGGATTAAAACCTCTGAAACTATAAGCCAAAATAATTTCTTTTCTTATTTTAAATGGTTTATCTCAGATATCTTGTCAAAGCAATGGAAAACTAGGATATCTATCTTCCAGAAAATGGAGTATTTCTAGTTCACAATTAAACACAGTTATTATAATTTGAATCTGTCCTTTGCCTCTCCTTTACTCTCTGTTGTGGGTATGCTGTTGGGAGAGCAGGCTCTGCAACATGCTTCTGTAGTCACAGCGATATGCTTCACCACTGGCCCAGATTCAATAGAGCCAAGTAATATGGACTAAAACCTCTGAAACAATGAGTGAAGAAATCTTCCTCTCTTAAAAAAGTTGTTTTGTTCAGAGCAACAAAAAGTCTGTCTGCTACAGACACTGTCAACATTTGGCTTAAACTTAATACTTATGAATTGTGTTAAGGGTTAGTTGTTTATGCTAAATATAAGACTTTAATCCCCCCAACCCTACCCTTTCCTAAAATGTCATGCTTATACTACTCTTTTTCCTTCCCTTTTTACTTGCCTTCAGGTCTTGGGAGGGGAAAAAACAAAACTAAACTAAACTAAACTAAAAACAACTTAAAGGTCCACAGCCAGTCCAGTAGCCGTCCATAACTAGTACTTCTAAACTACTGGGTTTTTTCTTTAGTGTTTCAACTTTCTCTAAATTATGACAATCTAGTATAAATAAGCAGAAACTTTGTTATTATATTCACTTTAAATATAAAATACTAAGGTGCATGGATGTGGTGGTGAATACTTATTGTCTCAGTTACTCAGGCCAACTTAGGCTAAAAAACTGTGAGACTCTCATCTCAGTAAGCTGCATGTGGTAGTGTACAAATGCCCTCCCAGTTACAATGGGAAGATAAAATAGGAACAGACCAGCCTGGGCAAAAAGTGAGACCTTATCTCAAAAATATCCAAGCCAAAAGAGCTGGAGTTGTGGTTCAAGTGGTAGAGAACATGC